CGGGCAGGGCAATTGGCTATTTATTTTGACAACTTGGTAAGACCTCCAGAAGCATGCAATCCCCGGAGCCTCAACCTGCACTGGCAGAGACTCAATTTTCAAGGTATACCCAAGGCGACTTTAGGGCTTCGGGTATAGAGTTTTAGCCCCTCTAAACCTCCTGAACATGGAGCTTCGAGCTCCGGGATCCCGATGACAGCAAGCAGCAAACCTTGTAGACTAAGCTTGTTCAACTCCACTTCTGCTCCTAGGGTTTAGGTTTCTGTTTTCGGGTTTACGTCGGGGTTTAGGGTTTATGGGCTAGGGTTTAGGGGTTTAGGTTCTAGGGTCCTGGGTATTACTGGGTATGTTGAGCCTGAACCATTTCCGAACCTTTCGTAGGATAATCGACTTTATTATGGTCCATAGGAGTCCATAGGCCCTGCTATCAGAAACTACCCTAGCCCTAGCCCCGAAAGTGGAGGTCCCAAATCCGAATTTCAGTCAGCCCTGGAACAGAAGCCTTGAACGAATCATCTGAGTCCAAAACTTGTTGAAACCCCAGAATCCAAGGCCAAAATCCGAAATCCTAGGTACTCAAAACTGATCCTCTAACTCTGAGCCCTACGCCCCACACCCCATTCCCGTTCCATTTAATGAGATTTCGTTGCGCCTCCGGTTTGGTCCACCTGGCACAGTCATCGACGAAACATTGGCGACGCGCGCCTGGCCGACAGTTTAAGAACCGTGCTAGTTCGCGGCACGTGCAGAACCCTAAGTCCCTTCTGAAATTTTAAGCCCAATTCAGGTAACATCCGTGCAGCGATATGCTGGGGGGGAGGTCCAACAAAAATGTAAATCGCAACAAAAGCACGACCGTGACGACGACGACTACTACGACGACTTCTACCACAAGTACCACCACCACCACCGCCACCACCACCACCACTAGCACTACTACTATCAGCACTACTGCTACTACTACTACTACTACTACTACTACTACTGCTACTACTATTATTACTAGTAGTAGTACCAGTACCAGTACCAGTACCAGTACCAGTACTAGTACTACTACTACTACTACTACTAGTACTACTCCTGCTGCTACTACTACTACTACTACTACTACTACTACTACTAGTACTACTACTACTAATAGTACCAGGAGTAGTAGTAGTAGT